CGACCAATTGAAAATGTTTTGAGCAAAAGATCTACTCCAATTATGATGCACTAAAAACGTTTAAAGATTGATCGAAAAGGCAAAGGAAGGGCGTTCCTAGCAAACTTTTTTCGATCACTATGGCTAAGGTCCCAACCTGGGGCTCCCAACTAGCTATCTCAAAGTTAACAGGAACGGCTATTACAGATGAACTAGCCTTCAGCTAAAAATCTCTCAAATAAAGATTAAAAAAAGGAACGGCTTTATTTTCTAGCAACAATAAGCACGATTTACAAACGAAAGTTTGAATCTATTTTACATAGGATAAGTGTACCAGTATTGGCACTAGTGGTCCTGTTTTTGGCCCTAGTGTCATATTTGAAATAAATTTTAATGGCTTTATTTGCCAAAACATTTGTTCTTCCTTTGTATCGAAACAAATTTAGAAAGAATGTTAAAATGTGAAATTTAAGATAAGGTCAATTTGACGACCACTAGGGCCTAAAACTGGTGCACATATCCTAGTTATGTTTCTAGATTTCTTAGAAAAATTTCAACTTTTTATAAATGTCAACATAATATTTCATAACATTCATAAGTTGATTTACTAATAGCATGTTTAATTACCCCTATTCAACGCAAACATAAAATCTTCGAATTGTTTGCATTCAATCACATTCAACTATCGCAATTTACGCAATGAATCGAATAGAATTCAATCAGGTCAAACAGACTAAGAAATATTGCATCTGTAAATATGCAATATTACTGGTTAATAACGCTCTTGATTGGCTTCTGACTGGCTTGAAAATGCTAGTTAAAAAAAAAAAACTTTGATAAGCCCCCTGTAGAGCTGGTCGAAAAAAGAATGGCCGCATTATCCGATGTCAATCATACAAGGACTGCAGCAGCAGGCAGCTTGCTGGTGTTAGAAGCAGAAATGTTGCAAACATTGTTACGCAAGCGAATGACGACGTTACGTCAGCACAACATTCCATACTGCGAACAGCAGAGTGACATCACAGGCAACAGCTGTTTCGTGTGAAAAGATAAACTCTTAGGTGAAATACGAACACCACCTTCCACATTCAACTGTGTAATACCAATAAGTCAGTTGGGCCAGACCTTGTATGATTGACATCACATTACCCTGACAATTTACAATTCGCCTTCACTCTATATCTGTTTACTCTTATGGTAAAATCCCATCCGCAGTCGTCAGTCTGTGCGTGAAACCTGGTGAACATTTCCTTACTATCAAGGTTTGTATGAAGAGATTGCTGGTTCTATGGTGGAGTGAAGAGATAAGACAAAGTCCGCTAGATTTCATGCACATATTTTCAGATGCTTATGGGATTTTACCAAGGAGGAGTTGCAGGGTCGTCGTCAACGTCAATGCTTACTGAGCATGCAACCATATATCTGCTTTTCTTTCATAAGAGCTAATGTCGCAAACGTAAACTTTTTCTGCGAATTTCCCGATAATGAAAATCCACTCGAGTCAACTAAAAGTAAACTGCGTAAAGGGAGACTCCCCCTATCCGATGGAATTGGTGGCTTACATGGAATGACTTTGAACTACAAGAAATATACGAAAGAAGCCATTGTTTACGTTTTCGACATTGGTCCTTATGAACGCACAGTGTCGATATCACGACAATTCTGTTTTGACAGATCGATGACCAACTATACCAGTTATACCACTGAGGCAACACAAAAAAGGGGTCAACTTTTAGAAAGTTAATTTGCATGCAGTTCCACATATGTTATGTGTCTGTATCCACATTATTCCGGACACCTTCAAATCTCTTTAATTTTTGAAACATTGCATGTAGGAGTGAAACATTTCGCTGAGGTATAGCAGGGAGTCATTGGTGAAAAAGACTATGATTGGTGTTTACATTCCATGTTAAGTGTTCAAGATGGCGACGGATGAAAAACACGTGTGCGAGCGGATTTTGTACGGACGTAATGCAAATCCTGACTTGTCAATACGGGGACTTGCAAAAAATTGGATTTACTTAAATCCACTGTTCACGACCGCTCAAATCATTTTCGGAACGTTTGACGGTCGAGAGGAAACCGAGAAGTGATACAATCATTGGATGTGCTGATCCTGTATTGAACCTAAAGGTGAAGAGGAATCTCTCTGTTCGAACGGTGGCTTGTAAAATAGGAATGTCACCTGGTTTTGTCTAAAAATCAAAACAGCGTTTGGAGCTGAAGTCGTATAAAGTAAAAACAGTTCCAAATCGCAACGACAAACAGAATTTGACAGCAAAATCATGGGCTCGACGTGTTTGTACTGCGAATATTTAACGAAGTTTTCATGGACATTGAAACTTATGTCCTGGAGGATTTAAAGCAGCTTCCAGGACTGGCTTTCTATTCTGCTATGGCCAAAAATGCTACAGCTGATTATTTCGATCAACTAGCTGTTCGCGCGTGTTGATTGTCACCGAATACACCACTTCCTTTATGCACCCCATAAAAAAGAAGTCCATGGGAGTCATATCCCTATTCCTTGGGGGCCAAGCAATTGGCCCATTCCGCCCGATCCACGGTTCCCGATAGTTGGCGTTCAGAAAATGTCTTACCGCATTTGTGGAATGAGATGGGGCTCCGTCCTGTTGAAACACCAAGCGCCGTCTCACAGCAAGTGGGACATCCTCCAGCAGGGTTGGAAGCTCGTTTTCTAGAAATTCCAAATACTTCGCTCGAAAGATACAAGAGAAGTTGAATAATATTATCCTTGTGGAAGAGACCGGAAGGAGGTTCAGATACTGCATCCAAGAAAATGGAGGACACATAGAGCAACTATTGAAATAAATTTATGAAAGAAACGAAGATCAGTACTTCAATTTGATTAATCATTGGAAAATACCCAATCAGTTCAATAAACTGATCTACATTGGTATCGAGAAAAAAACAAAACATTTTAAAATTTCGTCATGCGTTCAATTGAACCTTCAGCAGCATTGTTTTTCTTGTCACACTTTTCATACCGTCACTACGAATGGCGATCAAGTGTGCTATGCGCGCTGCAAACAGACGTCAACAGCAACACACGGTGGGGTTGAATTCGTGTTTTACACGACAGTAAATTAACGAGCCAACATGGGGTTTTTAGTACGAAATTCCGACAAAAACAAGATAGAAAATTGATGTCAAAGAGAGAGTTGTAAAGCGCATTGAGAGGCATCTTTTGGTTTGATAAAACAAAACACTTTATTACGCATTTTTTTAAATAATAAGGGAAAACCCGTAGGAAAACACAAGCTGTAGACTCGTTTATCCCTAAAATGTGTCTAATTGCAGCTTACTTAAAGTAGAAATAACACTATTAAGTAGGAACTATCTAATGGAGGCAAGAGTTTTGTGCTAAATGGTATAGTTTTTGTGTTATAGCCAATTTATGACAAACAGAAAAAGTTCAATAACTCAGTAATCTTTGAGATTTGATCATATGCGTAGAACAATTTTTTACTTCAAATATGATCTTCTATCCCCCTTTAAATTCTTTTCACTAAGGAACCGAACACCCTATATATATAATAATTTATATTTTATCATGCAATATTTAATGTACATACAATTTATAGGAAAATGAAAAATATAAAAAATAAATAAATATGTTTTACAAAACATTGTTGTCAATTTGACAGAAGTTTGATTGGCTGGAAAATTCAGAAGCATTGCTGGAAAGTTTGCTAATCTTGCATCAAGTCTAAAATCAAAAAAAAAATTCTGATTTTCAGCGATTTTATTTTGGTGTTTTGCGATATTTGGCCCGTGAATTAAAAACGTTGGGCAGGCCCGTAGAGGCAGGTGGCATCAAATTGATCTAGGTACATTTCTACCGAATACCATCCAGCTGACGGATTCACGAAAGCATTGGCTAAGTAGAAGCATTGGCAGCATAGTAATGATCTTGATCTTAGTATAAAAGTAAATGTAGGGGCAAACGCCTAACGTGATGAATTGCAACATTGCCTGTAGGCATAGGGCTTTGAGCACATTCCTTGTATCTACCGCAAATCTCAAGTTGCATCGGAAAGTGTTTACTATCGCTATTATAAAGCACTCAACGCGCAGGCTGTAATCAACCTAGTATGAGAAGCGTGATGCCTACGGACAACTTTATTTATGAAAATTATTTTACCATTCGACTGATTACACATTTCAAGTACGATTTTTTGTTTTGTTTTATTTGCTAAGCCTTACAATTATTCCCGGGTGGCAAAACACTTGTTCGTGATAAAATCGTCCAGACGGAATACAAAATGACAACGATTTACGTGTCCCGAGCAGCCAGCAGCCCGAAGACTCATGAAAATGATCCGGCTCCTTGTGGAAAGCCGGAACAGAGTGAATGAACCGCTCCATTACCAATTCGTTTTGTTTCGTTTCGTTTCGTTTGAAATTAAATGGCAATTATCGACCGACCACGACGAGTGAGTCGGTGTACTTTAAATGTGGATCTCGAGCATGAATTCGAACGTGGAACCCGTCAATCAAGGTTGGCTTCAACCTGCCGTACGGTAGCGGGAAAATGCTTAGGATTCGGGCTTCTCGTGACCAAAGTTGCGTGAGTATGTCCTTTCGGGCGTTAATTCAATTATCAGCACCTCTTCGGAATTGATCGAGATTAGCGAGAAGTTCCCAAATTTTGATGGAAAAATTATAAGAGAACCAATTTTGCCGCATGCAATTGGTCTGTTGTCTCTGCTAAGCAGAGCATACACAATTTATGAAATGCAATGGGTTGAATTTCAACTGTAGAAACTCAAAATTGGTGCAAACCGAATCGATGACTGACGGTAGAAATGGTAGTATAATGGCAAAATGGCGTGATCAAGGAGGAAGGTGCGAACCGTGCATATGATCATTAGCAGCCTGGTAATGAACTAGGGATTTGAAAATTAGCCATTTTTGCGAAGTCATTTTTTTTTCAATCAAACAGACGATCATGTCCTCCTCGAATGTGTGTATGCTGATAACTATCATCTTTATCTTTTCAGGACGTCCTCGAGGAGTACGAGGAACGAGTCAAACGGCGAGGCAACATGCCCAAGATCGATCGCAGCTGCCTCAAGTGGACACCGTTCGTTGCACCGACTCCATCGACGCCGACCTCCTAGCGCCAGTCGTACCATCATCATCATCATCACCATCATCACCACCACCATCCTTATCATCATCATTACCAGCAGCAACAGCAGCAGCATCAGCAGCAGCAACAGCAGCAGCAGCATCAGTATAACAATCATTACCATCCCTACAACAACCATCAACATAATAATATTAACAACAACAACAATAGTTACGGGGCCAACTATAACTATATGGCGAGCGTTTTACAGTGATGCGGAAATAGTTAAGCCTGGCGCCTACCTTTGATGTTTTGACGTGTGTTTCGATGAAAGATGTGTGTTGAATGGAAGATGAATTTTCTATCTGATATTTAGTACTGACATATATATGGTTTAAGCGTGAGTAAATGAAAAAAATAGGCATAAGTTACACGGATATAGTATTAGTGCATTTATAAATAGATTGTACAAATTTAGTAGGAGTTTTAGGCATATTTTGTTGTCTTATGAATGTAAAAAAATCGTCTTCTGTTTATGATCTTGTTACCATTTTTTTTCGTTTAAATTTTGTTTAATGTATATTTTAATTTAGCACAACCGATTTAACGGTTGGAAGGTTGTTTTTTTTTTTTCAATTTAATTAACTTGAATTGTATTATATTTTAACGTGGATAACATCAACACTCATGGATGGATATCTTGTAAAATTAAGACATTGGATATGTATCATATAGGAAATTGAACGAGCAACAGTAGTTATCAGTTTTTAATCTATCAGTAACTAATTTAATTGACGATAGCATATAAACCCACAGAGTACTCCCACACGAGAAATGTAAGATTCTCTTCAAGTATTGTATAAAAGATATGTGGAAAATGTAATACATCATTGCATTTGAAGATTCTTTAAACCGGACGTCGAAAGACATATCGAAAAAAAAAAAAAATTATATGATTAATGTTAGCAAATGATATGACTTCAGCTGATGATTAATGTTAGCATATGATATGACCAACGCAGAAATTCGTTTTATGAAGGTTTTGTTCGGATAACTTGATCCTATACATATTTATTTCTCTCAACAGACATGCTAGTGATCAGTAGATCCCATTTGTGATCTTAACTCTAACAATTATTCGATTGAAAGTACGTTGCAATGGGGGGTTTCATCCGGTAATTTTGCCGTATTTTAATTTCAAAATAATTTCTAAAAAACCCAAATGTGGTTAAAAGTGAGTAGGAGTGATAAATAAAGTAAGCTATGTCAATTGGGTCTGCTTTGCTTCAAATTTTGGAACTCACGAACCGATTACCGAAATTATCTGATAGATTTGATTTCAATATAAAAATACGAACAGCCCCTAGTTGCAATCCGATGATGCCAACTCTTATGAGGAGAATCCTAGAGGAGAACTATTTCCATTACTCAGAAAAGTACCTGATTCTGGATGAAGAAAAAGATGAATAGGCTTATCCGTCAGTTAGAGTAGATTAGTGACAAGGGATTTTGTGGCCACTAGACGGATCTTCAAGGTGTCCATGCGAATCAAATGACCAGTGACAGGCCAAATAGGATAACAAAATAACAATTTAAGTCCCTACCTTCTCCGATTTGCATGAAAATTAGCAAAATTATGTGTTATGGAATGATTTTTTGCAAAAATTCGACCATTTTGGATTTGTATTTTCTTCAAAATGGCGCCTCTGACATTTTTCAATGAGTGCAGAACTAAATCGTCACTTCTGATCGAAATGACGTCTGAGACAAAGTTGTTGTGAAAAGTGAAGTAATTCTTGGAAAATATACTCGGTAATTTTTTTAATTAATTTTGAATAAAAATGATGTGTTAGCCGTTATAATAATTTTCACATGCATTGAGTATATGTTCTTTAAGGTACGAGGTAGGGTAGAACAGTACATAACGACCCCCGGGGTAAGACGCACTTTTTCATTTTATTTTGAGTTTTTCTTGGAATTTTTAATCTAATTCTAGGATTTTGTAGGATTTTGAGTTCAGATGCTATGCTAGAAGTGCTGCTTGATAAGACAACAAAAAAGTTACGTAAAAGCCATGAAAAACACAAATGAAAGTCAGCTGGTGCGTTCTGCCCAGGGGGTGCGTTGTATACCATTCTCCCCTACCTAATTTTGTTCACGCTAAAAATGAGCAAACCAAATTTTGAATTTTGTATAGAGACGTACCCATCTCTCCAAAAAGTGCGAATGGGTAATTTTTACTATCTATTACCCACATTCATCAGCGTTCCCTCTATATTTATACCGATTTCCGAACTAGATACCGATATACAGATAAGGTTCCTCAGATTACCGATTTTTGAGGTTTTATACCGATTTAAACCGATTTTTTTTTTAAATAATCAAAATGATTATTGCCTGCCTCGAATTTCGGAGAAAAATATTGTGAGAGACTTGTATCTTTTGAATATCTCAAATTGTTTGAGCCTTTAAAATTCATAAAAATATCATCTTTAAAAATGTCTTACGGATACTTTTCTTTCCATTTATTAAAGAGATTTTCAGCCTTTGGTTGGTTCATCTCTTACCCTTATGGAAACTCTTTCGATTAATGTTTCAATGTCCTCACCGTTTTAGGCTACCCATGAATCGATATACAGTCGATGGCTGTTTCTGGTAATTCCGGGGAAAACGGAAAATATTTTTTAAAGATTATTAAACTTCCTGAATTTTCTTGCAACTTTCCCCTGGAATTTTCTGTCACCTTACATCGTAAATTATTTTTCGATTCCTCTCGGAAACTTCCGAGAAACTCAGGCCGAAAACTTTAGCAATGTTTCGAGAAGCTCATGCAAATTTAGGAAACGTAAGGGAAGTTACACGAACATTAGCACATTGTGAGAACATTTTATGGGAAGTTCCGATGGCAGTGTCGATAACTTTTAAAAATTAGAAAAATCGGAAGATCAGAGACCTTCAATGCTGATGTAACAATAAATTCAAGAAAATTGTGCGCTTAAGAAATTTCGCAATCTTCCTATCAACTTAAGGAAAATTGCAAGAACTTTTATGGAATTCCGAGGAAACATGGAATATTCCTAAGTACATTTCAGGAATGTTCCAAAAATTTCAGGGTCTTGAGGGATGTTTTATGACCATTTGGAATTTTTTTTGGATCATTAGAACATCCCCCATGAGCTCTTTCTTCCGGAATTTTGTCCTTGTTTCTTTCGACTGTTCCATAAGCGCTCTGGCTTCCGACTTTCTCCAGATTATTTTTTTTTCCAATCTACCTTGGTAAGTTTCTGCCAGCGTCTCAAGGAAGTTTCTTCCGTCTTCTCCAGGAAGTTAAATTAATCTTTTCCCAGAAATTTCTTTCGTCTAGTTCTAGAATTTTGTACAGTTGTTGGCTTCCCCTGGAAATGGCTACTTCTGGATTTTACTTGCGATTTCCGAAACGTTTCTGCCTTCCTTTGAATGTGAAATCCGATTTTTTCTGAAAGTTTCTTTACATTTTCGCCAAAAGTTTCTCAATTTATGTCTTGGAAGTTCCGTGGATGTTTTTCCTACTTCTCTCAGAACTTTCATCAAATTTCCTCCAGAAGAGCTTCTTTCTTCTTTCTCTGGATGTTGTTTACAGCTTCCTCCAGAAGCTAATTCAAACATTCCCCGGAGTTTTCGTTCAGAATTTTCCGAGAATAGCCCAAAAGTTAAAATTTTCCGATTTTTTAAAACCTTTGATACCGATAAGCTTTAAAACATTCTGGCACCACTGGTACGTGTACTGAATCATCTGTTGGTTGCGCCATCTTTTTGTCAAAACTTGGACTACATTAAGAGTATCTCCACCGGTGGTTCATTTCCAGCTGTACCCATAAACCTTGCTAAAAGCTGCATCGGAAGTTTGTCATAGCTCCACACGCAGCATGACCACTGTAGAAGTTGTTTGCGGTGGTTTCTGCAAGCCTGTTTTGCATTACTTACACGCTATGTCAAAACTACCAGAATTTGGGTAGAATCCACCCAGATCGGTTAAAACTGAACCTACCCAAAATGGGTAAACTATGATGGGAGTGACAAGTTGACAAATTGACAACATCGACTTGAATCCGATCGACTTTGTTCATTTGTCAACTTGTCACTCCCAACATAGAGATTGCTAAAGTATGATTGTGTAAGTGATTTGTTTTCATCGGGAAAATTTTCCGCTATGAAGTTTTTTTTTCCCGATGAAAACATTTTGCGTATACGTATACGTGACGCACACTACGTACGACAAACGTCAGCAATCTCTATAGTTTACCCATTTTTGGGCAGGTTCAGTTTTGACAGATATGGGTGGATTCTACCCAAATTTGGGTAGTTTTGAAATAGCGTGTACAGCTCTGTAAAAAATAAAGGAGGAACTGTACACGTACATAAGTGAAAAATCCGCTATTTTCTGGATGTGGAAAGGCTGCCGCAACATTATGAGTAATGCTCGTTTTAAGAACACTCTGAAATCTGAAATCTATGAATGCTGCTGCGATGGAACTCAACGATACGTACCAAGACATAATTGAAGAAATGAAGAGTGAGATGAAGGCCAGTCCGATTGCCGAGATTAGACATGAGATCCAAGGAGTTTTAACTAGCTTTCTCCAGCGCTACAATCTCCTCTTTCTCAGATTTTCAAGTTTAGTAAATCCAACACGCCAAAAAGAAACCGTGAAAACGAAAACGCTTCATCTGATCAACCAGCCAAAATTCTACGTGGCAACGGTGGTCAACGGGTCATCAGCTCCTGCAGACAAATTCTGGGTCTATCCAACCAAAATATCTCCCGATGTTTCACAGTCAGACATCGAGAAACTCGCCAAGGAATCTTTGAATGTGGATGAAGTTGTTGTGAAATCGCTGATATCAAGAGGCCACTGTCGACACTGTCTTTCGTATCATACAAGGTGGGAGTCAGTCTCGAATTGAAGTCGAAAGCTATGGATCCTTTATTTGTGCAACAAGGAATCGAATTTCGGGAAACGCAAAACTGCACCAGTGCATGTGACACCTAGGTTTGAAATCCAAAACCACAAAAGTGATGATGTACTAAAAAGTATTCCATACGATACGAGGTAGCAAAACGTCATTATCATTTTCTCATCATTTACATCTGCTGGTCGACCGTAACGTAAATTCATCAATTGAGGATGATACAAGGACCCGGCATTTGTGGAAGCCGGTGCTGAACGCAGATCCTGGTCCGTCGAACTGCAATTAGAGCCTGCTGAAACGTCGTCGAGCTCCACACAATTACATTGAGGCTTATCTGCTTGTGGCTGAGGTATGCATGAACCAGATTTTTTTCACTTTTAGAGGGAAATTTTATAAGCAAACGTTTGGTCTAAGCATGGGCAGCAAACTTTCGCCTCTCCTGGCACGTGTGTGGAGGCGCTATGATGACGATGTTTTTGCACCAGTTAAAGAACGCTACCTAGAACAAAGCCTTAACCTGCTTAACTCCCGGAACAGTTCAATAAAATTCACGGTAGAGAGAAGAGGATGGGAAATTGCCCTTTCTGGTTCTAATGATTACTAGATAGGAAGACGACAACCTGAAATTCGGTATTTATCGCAAACCGACGTCCACCGATCGCTACATTACTTCCGATTTTAACCACTTAGGCGCCCAAAAGCAAGCCGCTTTTCACTCCATTGCACACCGTCTTTACAACGTACCCATGGACGATGACGAGTTTGCAGTCGAAAGAAACCGTATCTACAAAGCGGCTGAAGTGAATGGGTACGAAAGGGAGTTCGTGAACAAAATTCTCCGAAAACACAAACGAAAGAAGCACCGACAAAATATAACCACACTAGAACCGGTGGGAGAAGAACAAACCCAATCAAATCCACACTCAAGCACAAGGACTTCAGGTAGTACACAAGAGCGACAACACTTTGCGTGACTTGTTGTGTAACCTGAAGGATAAGGTTCCGCCGGATGAACAGTCTGGAACTTATCAAATTCCCTGTAAGGACTGTCCTTCGGTCTATATCGGACAAACGTGCCGCAAAGTAAAAGTTCGCTTAAAGGAACATAAACACACTGTAGATAACAACAAAAAACCCAATAAATCAGCCGTTGCGGTACACACAATTAGCTATAACATTGACTGGAAAGGTGCAAAAATCATCAAAACCGTCAGAAAAGCTTCACATCTAAACGCATAGGAATCATTATTTATCCCCAGTACTGCTGAACCATTGATGTATGAAGATGACCCCCCCCCCCCCCCAATTATATCCTGCCTTTTCAAGCTGACAAATCTGAGAATCCAGTAGCTTCTCTTCTCTTTTTATTGTACGTGTACGGAAGAATGTATGAACATCATGAGTAATCATTCGGACATTGTCCCGTAGATGGACAACATCACGCCCGAAACTGGTTGAAAGAAAGTTAAATTTAAATTTACTTTAACGTTGTAAGAACGATAAGTGTTGTGTCTTGTGTCTCGCGTCGCGTATTGTGAGTGTAACAAATACCTCTTCTTCTGCTCTCCTCAACACTTGTGCTCATTTGACCGTTTACTATCAAAACATCCGTGGTTTGAGGACTAAAACGAATGGTCTGCTCCATTCGCTGCTTTCTTGTGAATCCAGAATTTGATTGACCAAGCAATTGACCAATTTTATATCAAATGTTGTTT